TATATCTCTTGATCAGGATTTTTGGAACGTCTATGAGCACAGTTCCACAGCACATATTCAACATTTTATACCAGGGGTGACCAATCTTATCCGGAAAGGGCTGTTGGATATGCAGGTTTTCACTGCAACTCCCTAATTAGAGGACTGATAGGCTGAAGAGTCCTCACACCTGGGTTTGAGCAGCTGATCTACTGGTTATCCGGAAAACCCGCATACACACCGGCCCTGTGCAGATAAGATTGGCCACCCCTGCTTTATACTGGTAACAGTGCTTTGCAGGCCCATCTTTGATACTGTAAGAGGCTGGGACTGTCATTACGGTATCAGCGAGTGAGGAACGTCCACCTTCACAAAATTATGCTGCTCAGTTCTTATCCAAGTATCTGTGTCTGCAATTCTAAAATTAGGACTCGCTTGGCATAAAACCAGCCAAGAAATTACTCAGTAAGAAAAATGACGATTGTATAATGATGGCAGTGCCCTGAATAATAAATTGCATTTTTGAGCATGTATCCCGACTGCAGCCGCAGGCGGCCTGCACCGGGCGGCGTGGATGCTGACGGTTTGTCCGTTTCCTTTCTTCATGAGCTCGGGTGTCCGTCCGCTGCACCAAACACGGCATGTCTCCTGCTCGCGAGTCGGTGCCAACTGGTCCCCTAATCTTTGTCGTCAGTACGGAATGCGAGGGAAAGACTCGGCGTACATCTGCGTGGCCGAAATGTTGAGATGAGCCAACCGTTTGTATAAAGCCAAGTTTGGGATGTGGCTGCCCTCAGTACCGTGGGGGGGCGGGGGGAGCGTCAACCAAGGTTTTTCACTAACTGTTGGGTGGGCACGCGATCTGTAATCATAGGGGACAGGGTAATAGGCTAATCTTTTTTAGCATCTTGTGATAATTATTTTTGGGGCACACAGAATGAAATGGGCGCACTGAGGAAATCAGGACTCCGTGTCTCTAAGGCCTGAGGTCCTCTCACGGACCAGCACAGCAAGCCTTAGGACTCTGACCGAGGCCACGACCAACGAGAACAAGAGAACAACAAACCCCTGTTTGTAAGCTGAACACACCTCTAAGGCGCCTCTAAAGCTGTTAGTCGATGCTGTTGCCAATTTGTATGGTAAATAAGATACAGAATGCAACAGGTTGCTTAGTTATCCCGTTTCTCTTATGCTCTTCCAGACTCTTGGTCTAGAAGATTGTGGTTGATTAATTAGTCAAACATTTGTAATCAAAACTGTTTAAGTGTAATTGTTAAACCACTGTTAAAATAGTAGGGTGGGAAATACCATTTAGAAATCGTCAAAAACGGGTTGTTTAACGAAATACAAGCTACGCGACCTGTGTGTGGTGGGTTAGCACTGCCACCTGCTGGAAAGATTTTGAAAGTACCATTTATTTGTCAGTGTTACTGGCAGAACATAACTGGGATTAGTGGTAACGGGATGGATAGGTCTAGGTAGCTTTAAGATTAAAAAGAAAAATGTTGTAGAAACATATAATACATCTGAGAAAAAGGCCTTCTGCATTTAAAAAATTACTTTATTTGCAGTTTGTTAAAATACTAAGCGTGGCGTGCAGTAACAGCTACGGCCATGACTTAAGTTGGCGTGGGATAATGGGAGGGGCCACATTCCATGATGTTATCCCCAACAGCCATGGCGTCACCTGAGAGGACAGGTAAAATCGTAAATAGCCACCGTGATGGTATCAGCCACAGCTGTCATTGTTAATTCACAGATCGGACACTTATCTGGGGCGCTGGGATAAGATGGGCAGAAAGTGGCACAAGCTTGGCATGACCTCTGATCGCAGTCCTAAAGACACATTGTCCAAAGATGCTGCCTCTCTGAAGCCAGGCTTGACTCCTGGCTGTAGGGTTGCGTTACCCTTTGGTTATGACGTCAGTCATGTACACACAAAAGGTGCATTGTGTTTCCAGTAGTGGTTTCACTTCATGCGGACAGCGATGAGAGCTGCAGGCAGCACGCAGACATAGGTGATTTTACACGGGGATGCAGGGGGTTGCACCCCCTATTGGTCAGATGAAAAAAGACAGCTTGAACATATTTTTAAAAATTATTTAGTAAATTATATTGTAGAGGTTATATTTAAAAATGTGGCTTGTGCTTGTCCTATCAATGTGTACTGAGCTGTGGAGAACAAGATTGGACAGGCGAAGAGAAGCATTCCAATGAACCTGTACTTGTGCAAATGGCAAATAAAGCATGTTTGGTTTTGTTTTGTTTATTGTCAATGAATTTACTATTTCTTTGATCAAATTAATGACTGGTTGAGTTCTCTCACCTTGCACTCCCTGGAAGAATAGCTTAGAGTCTCTTTTGCACACAGGGATCCAATGATCTCTCACACTTACAGGAGCTGCTTTTCGACATGCATAACTTAAGCATCGGTCTATTAACAAGTCTGTATATGTGTTTTTCCCACCCATACAAATAGACCAAATTAATCAAACTAAAATGCTCATCATCGATTTAGATATAAAATGTAACTTTTGCTTTAAGTGGATAATACAGTGTAACACATCATATTCTTCTGACATCTTACAGTCGCTACATGGCTTTGTTAACAGTTTCAAATGCCTTGTTTCTAAAAGCTACAGGAGGTGAGTTTTCAACTTTAGACTTGGCCAGCGGAGACCCACTGAAAAGAAAGTTTATCACCTCTCTTTCAGCTATTCTTTTATGTTAAACTATTAGTGGAATAAAACATTTTATTAATTAATAGACAGCACCCTGGCATTTGGAGGGTTTAGTGTTCAGTCATCTAAACATTTGGGGAAATGCAAGTGATTTAACATTAGGCAGTTAAAAAAATCTGGAATCAGTCTGGAGTTACAAGTGTAATGTAATGACATAATAGCTGGAAATCAGTACAAAGTCCTGTACGAATTTGTTTATCTCCTATATTAATTCCCCAGAAGTTTATTAGTTCAATGTCCTCATATCAGACGGCACCTCAAACTGCACCTAAGGGTGGTTATATCTTCTGCTAGCTTGGCCATCTTTGTACCATAACCAAGCACCCTAACTCTAACTCTAACCTAACCCTAACCCTAACCTAACCCTAACCCTCACCTGCCCGCACGAGACACTGCAGCATAGTGGGTCGGGCCACTCAGAAGTGCAGTGGGCGCCCCACACTGGCTAGAGCAGAAACTTTTTTTTCCCCAATGGATTTTACACTGAGTTAGAATTCGGTGATCTGTGCACAACAACGAAATGCATCCTCTGCATTTAACCCATATCTGTCATAACACAGGGCAGCTAATTAAGCACCCGGGGAGCAGAGCTTGGGGGCGGTACCTTGCTCAGGGTACTTCAGTGGTGCCTTGCTGGTCAGTGATTCAATCCAGCAATCTTTCAATCACAAGTGCGCTTCCCTAACCATTAAGCCACCGCTGCCCACTGAATTAGGCCATACCTTGCACATACTGATAAAGAGTGCATGAGACCAACTGGAACTTGGTCATCAAAGCGCCGGCCCCTGGTACCTCAGGAACCCCTGGGATATCCATGATGCCTCTGGGCTGTGGCATCAGCAGGAAGGTGTTGCTTGACCTTCTGGCAGTTGACGTTCTGGGTGAGCGCGAGCTAATGGCCGGCTGCCAGTTTCGTCAGTGCGACTGAATCTGCAAAGACACCATATTTCTACTTTACATAAGAAAACCTGTTTTATCAATACAGGGTTGATATATAAATTAAACTAAATATATAAGATAGCCTAAGCGATTATAAAAGATTATGATGGATGGATGGTCTCTGAAAGGTTTGTGCATTGTCTTAATTGACCGATCATCATCCCCGGGATGTCCTGTATCGCATGTATAAGCGCAACATTATTTTTGTTTTGTAGTATTTATTTAAAGAGCAAATTAAAACGCTTTATGGTGACGTAATTCCAATAGCACAAACGCTACTTCTTTATGTTGGACATACAGCAGAGACGGCGGTCGCACTAATAACTAGAAGAAACGCTGCTGCAGACGCAACCATGTCCAAAATGAGTTACTCTATGTGCCAATACGTGGAAACTCATTAAGGCGATACATTACCTCAGCAACAGGTGACGCGTCTACTCGCGGATCAAAACCCGTTACAACATCCCAGATAGTACAAAAGACCAGTGTACCCAGCTCAGGAGACTATCCATTTATACTCGGAAAATGACCTCTGCTTTGCTGAGACATTTGCAGTTAAATGCGATCAAATTTCATTGAAGGAAACTCTGTTAATAACGTATAGTTTTATTTATATGAGCGTGTAATGATGCATTGTTTTAGGCATACATTACTTTGTTTTATTTGTTTATAGGCTAGTTAACGATTGCGATGAGAACAAGAAAACGTATACTCCAAAGACTTTTGTTTTATATTCAGCGATTCAATATTTTATGACAGTCTGGGGTCAGCTATTTTAACGCAAGTCCAATGAAGATAGACAGGACATGTGATCCTGCAAATACCGCATTAATATTAACGCGGATACAGGTTCATTATAATAACAAAATGTTTGTTGCCCGGCGTGAAGTGTCATTTCAACAGGCAAACAGACACTTAAACGCACTGGAATTTTGATGCAAGAAGTAACTTACTTGAGGGCACGTTGCTTGTCTCCGCGCCAGTTATTTGCGTTCAAAGATGTTTCTGTGTGAAATCAGGAGTCCTTCGGTCTTGTTTCTGCATGCCAGCGCACCGTTCCTCTTCGCTGAATTTCAATTCCCCGTAACAGACGACAAAAAGCTATTAGGCCTATCTAAAATTAGACAATTAGACTAATGTGCTGAAGATAAACACGTCATCCGGTCTGCGCTATACAGCTGTGTTTGTTTGCCGAGCGCCTTGTGGACGGTCTCTCATCTTTATAGGGACCTATAGGTGAATGTGCTTCCTCAGCTGGACCGTTCGCGTCGTGGGCAGCGATCGTATGTTTAATTAATGCAGTTCAACAATCCCACGAAAGAATGTTGCTATTTTTAAACCATTTATGCCCTAACACTGCGCAGGTCGTTGCTGTCGTCCTATAATAATAATAATAATAATAATAATAATAATATATTTGAAATTCACGTTACATCTTAGAATTCCCTTTGCCTGCTATAGGGGCTGTTAGGTATGTTTTCCACCGATATCGCCTCAGGATGCATTTAAAAATCATACTTTATTATTAATAATGTGAAATATAGAGAGATTATTTACAATTATTATTCTATCAGTACTATCACTTTTCCCTAATATTGACGCTCTAGAGCACTTGACAACAACAATACAGGTAGATTGTAAGCAATTCGAACAGAAACATAATCCAAATATATACTTTTTGTGGATTCTCAAATCTAAACAACTGGATACACAATCAACAAACCGAAAGTCTTACACCAGGATTATTTTATCGTTATTATGTAAGTTTGGATATATTGCATATTTATTGTAAGATATTGTCTTCTTATCCGCTCTTATCGAGATTTGTCAGTTAATCATCATTAACAACAATCAACCAAATAAGTAAAAAATAATAATACTCATCACTACACTTAATGATAAATCTACGAATTTATTGTCGATTTTTTTCTAAAGTTACTCCTAAGTTTCATGCCTTAAAGAAGCAATGCGCCTGAAAGTAATCATGACACTTTTGGGTATTTTAAAAAATCGCTTTCTTGTAAATTTTCCCATAATTTTTCAAGAAACTGTGTGCCCTATGCTACACATGTGATGATAGGCTTCATACTGGAAAAGTTTGGTTTGTTGGATGAATGGATGGATGGATGGATGGATGGATGAATGGAAAATATACAGCCCACGAAGTTGTGTCCTTATAAAAGCTCCACGTAACGCCCAGTCGATTGCTTGGATTTTTTTCAGGTGTGTGTCAGTATATGAAATGGACTGCGTTTTACAATCCAGCTGAGGGGAAATAAAATATTTAAACGGGGCTGCGGAATTTAAATAACTAGCCGTACTCGCTCCGCCGTGAAACATTGCGCAGCATGACAGTCACCGACGCCACCAGCAGGCAGTTTCATTCACGGAAGGAGTAAGAATCATGTCGCTGCAGTTTAGTGAGGAGCAGTTTCAGGAGGCTTGGAGGGAACTGGACGACCCTCAGCTGAACGGGGGATGGGAGCTTTTCACCGAGACCATGGGTATCAAAGTGTACCGGCTGTCCGACGAGGTATGAAACCTTTACTGTTTACCGTGGAGTTGTCAGGCACTGATTTCCCATTCTCAGATTTGGGGGACTGCCCAGCTGCGGGCTACTGCGGTAACACATATATATTTCACAACAGTTATTTAAAAAATGGTCGAAATGATATGTTTATTTGTCCAGTGGATAGGAATCTTTGAATGATAATATCTGCATCCTGATATGAAATGTGGCTAGATGTCTCGTTCGTTTGCCGGTTTGGTCCCAAGCGAAGGGTGGAAATACCGCTTATTCAATTCCTTACTATAAATACTACATTTAGACTATGTTTGAAGTATCTATGAATTAAATGCAGAACGCCCTGTTTTAATGTACATGTGATGTAACTTGTTAGCCGGCCGATCCAGTGTCACCGGTTCGGCACCGGTGGTCCTGTGCTTTTACTCCGTTTTATGTTTTAGGACACCGGCCTTTACAAGTACAAAGTCTTCGGTGTGCTTAATGGGTGTCCGCCACAGCTGTGCGCTGATGTCTACATGGATTTAGAGTACAGGAAGAAATGGGATAGTTATGTCAAAGGTGAGCACGACTTACATAGCGTGGACTAACTATCGTTAACTATTTTGAAACACTCCTTCCATAGATGGAATATTTCATAAGCATACATCCTGAATATTTATATTATACAAATAACACAACACGATTCATTTTAAATAGAAATAAGCCTACTTACTAAACTGCTTAATTGTTGCATATTATATAATCATCTACGTTGTTGCTATTTATTATTACGTTTAGGAAACTGGATTGTTTGTTATTCAGCTTAATCAGTTTCGAAAGAGTTCGTGTTTGTGAACAATGCGGTCGTTGGTATTCGTGCAGTGTGTTTTTTTCCTGCTACACAAATAGCACGGCGATGGTTTCCATCGACTTGGGCGCCTTCATATGGCTGTGCAACTGAAGTGCGCGTGATTTAACTTGACTTCAACGTGTGAGAAACGTTCACTTTAGAATCGGAATCTACAGGCACGACCAGTCTATTAGCACAACGACTTGCCTATTGTGCGGTACTAACTGGTTTTTCTTCATTTCATCATTATCAACAGACCACCTGTTTCTTTTAATAAACCAGGTAACCGCTGCCAGCCACAGGCGGGTATTTCACGAGCAGGATTTCTTGCTTAGCCGAATAACTTGTCAGATTTATGGTCTGATCTACAGTTAAGTGGCCGCAGATTTATCTCAGACTACCTGAAATCCAACAAGTTATCCGGCTAAGCAAGAAATCCTACTTTGTGAAATACCCCCAGGTCATGTTTGTGTTTGTTAGTGATAGTATATACGGTTGGTATAACTGCTCTTCTGTAACAGTGCTGTAGTGCAAGGGCGTAGATTTGTTCTGGACATTGGTGGTGACCTAGGACTCCGCCCCCCGCCCCCCATCCCCTGCCCCACCCACCAACCCCGCCACCCCAACTCCGTCCACGGAATGCATGTTTTTTTAATATGCTGCAAAATGCAANAACCCCGCCACCCCAACTCCGTCCACGGAATGCATGTTTTTTTAATATGCTGCAAAATGCAAAATCACTTTACATTAATACTAGCAATGCTTCGATTAATATTAATCCACTCGAAATGCAATTCATTAAGTTAAATTAAGGAATAATGTAATGTCAAAACCCCACTAGCATTAACGTTCGTTATTTTGATGGACTTTGATGGATTCACTAGCGAACTTGAAGTGACTTACACTTTTCTTTGAAAAAAAGCTCCTTATGTTCAGCTTCTTTTTTTTTTGCTGCCGCCATCCTCACATGTGTCACCCAACACACCTTCTTGCACGGGGAAAAAATCCACTGCATTTGGCGCTGCTTGTATCTGAACGCAGCCACAGCCTCTCACGTGATAGCAGGGAAATGCACAGCCAATCAAAATGTTCATATGTGTTTTGGGGGCGGGAGGACTCAAGGAGAGAACGTGATTTATCCCTTTCTGCGTGTCTAGATTAATGTTGACAGCACGATTGTTTTTTTGTTTTTTTTTTAAGTGGATTAAATTATTGGTGGGGACATTTCAATGGTCGGAGGATATTGGTGGGGACACATCCCCTCCGTCCACCCTAAATCTACGCCCCTGCTGTAGTGTATCTTACACTTTACAAACCTTAGGCTATGTTCACTGCTCACTACCCATGACTGTTTAACCCCTAATGGTTAACATGACTGAAAAGTTAATTAGCTACCTGTCTCTGCTAATGTTCTACTACTTTATGGTGCCTAAAGCTACACAATGTGTTCCTTAACAGTCTGGAGGACTCGGGTGTTCATGGAAACCCAGATCACATGTAGTTTTGAAACTGAAATCTCATTGGTCCCAGAAAAGAACATCAGTGCCCTGTCTGCCTGCAGAATGGGGCTGGGAGAATGAGCAGCAGTTGACTAACAGTGTTCTCTTCATTGTGTCTTTGTTTTCAGAGCTCTACGAGAAAGAATGCAATGGGATAGTTGCCATTTACTGGGAGGTTAAATACCCATTTCCCTTGTCAAACAGGGATGTATCCTTTTCACTCACCACAAGCTCAGAAACGACAGCAGGAACGAGTCAGAAACGACAGCAGGAACGACTCAGAAACGACAGCAGGAACGACTCAGAAACGACAGCAGGAACGACTCAGAAACGACAGCAGGAACGACTCAGAAATGACAGCAGGAACGACTCAGAAACGACATCAGGTGCGAGTCAGAAGCGACAGCAGGAACGACTCAGAAGCGACAGCAGGAACGACTCAGAAACGACAGCAGGAACGAGTCAGAAACGACAGCAGGAACGACAGCAGGAACGACTCAGAAACGACAGCAGGAACGAGTCAGAAACGACTAGCACTGTGTTAAGTGGGGGACTTGAGTTTGGCTGCCAGGCCGAATGGGTCTGTACGAGTCACACTGCACTCCCCATACCCCCCCACGGAAAGGGTGCCTATGTCCTTGACTGCCCATGCAGTATGTATATGTCCGGGCACGGCGTGACCTGCACATGGGCAGAGGCAGGAGGGTCTGGGTGGTGCTGGCAAAGTCTGTGATGGTTGCACAATACCCCGAGAAAAATGGCGTCCTCAGGGTGAGCGACTACAATCAGAGCATCGCCATGGAGAGTGACGGGGCTGATGGGACACGAGGTACCGCCACCCTCCGCCGCCACACTGACTTACTAGGGAATGCATGTAGCTTGGAGCACTGAACAGGGTTGTTAGCAGGATTTACCTGAAATTCTCAACCGACCTGCCTTGGTTACATTTACATTTCTTAGTCATCAATGATATTAAGGGAAGAGTGACAGATCCCCCAATCAAGCTTCTTGAACCATTTGCTGTATCTTTTGACCCCACTAGATGGTGCTCTTGGATTGCTTTGGGGCATGCTTTGAGCCCTTTTATGAACAGAGAGCACCACCTAGTGGTGTCAGAAAATACAGCAAATGGTTCATGATGCTTCATTTGGTCATCACTACTGGCAGCCTGTCGGTTATAGAGCAATAACCTGTGGGGCCACACGCCACATTGCAGACCCTGTGTCTAGAGCAGGCCCCTCAAAAGACATGAAAAGCTCTTCTGCAAAGGTCTTTAGTGATGAAGAAGGAGGGTGGGGCAACATCCATGGGAATGTCGGCTGGATGGTATAGAGCATCATATGCTGACGCTTCTTGGTCGAATTTGGTTTCAGTCTTCATGACATACTTCGATAATCCTGGCGGCATGATCCCAACCTGGCTTATCAACTGGGCTGCTAAGGTGAGTCCCGACCAAAAAAACACAGTCCAGCCTTAAGGGATTCACTCTGCTGCAGTTCCGTATCCATAATGGACCGTTTTCCCCCGCCTCCCGCAGACTGGCGTTCCTGCTTTCCTGACGGACATGCAGAAGGCCTGCGAGAACTACCCCGAATACTGCAGGAAGAACAGGACATGAGTGCTGGCAGAATCACTGTGGGGGTTGACATTCTTCCACGACCCCATTGATTACATCAGTTCCTCTGGGTTTACTGGTTTGACTGGCATGTGATGAGCAGTTGGGTGACAGTGGTGTCTATGACGAGGCTTCATGTCTGTTGGTGTTTTGTGGACTGTGCAGGGGGAAGGGGGTGCAATCACTGACTCTGTTCTTGTGCAACATTACGAGAGCAAAGGCTGGCCCAACATCACGACAGTTCGGAGCTGCATTCTTACGTTTTCCGTTACATCGAACTCCCTCGGCGCCCAGCCACCACTGCCTCTCTCTGCGTTTATAACCCCTCCCTCCTTCAGGTTTCCGTGCCCTGTGGCTGGTGTTCATCCACGGGGGAAATTCACACCCGACTAAGTTTGGCTGCTAGGAGGCGTCAACAGCACAACCTCTCATTTTACCTGCCCTGTTTACTCTCGTGTCTGTGTGTGTGCCTGGTTGCTTTTTAATTAGTTTATTTACAAGAAAATGGCAGTAGGCGGGTATGTTTTGGGCCATTCTGTCTGTAACTTGTGTATTTCAGGAGATGTACTCACCCTTTTTTGAAATTGGTTGTGGATAAAATCATTAATTAATGTTTTGCACTGAAATAGAACAGAGATATGTATGACTATAAATTATTAAACGTTTACGTTATTTTCTTTTTCCTTTTTATGAAATAAAATATGCTGCTTCCAGAATATGCATTTTTCTTATAAGATCTGAGCTGTAAAATATTCAGGTGTATTGGTGTTGAGTTTCTGAGTTGGGGTTTTGATATGTGGGCTTTATTTAACTTTATGGCGTCTGTGTTTTTTAAGAAGGGTCTGCCTCTGTACCTTCTGAGACCTCGGAGCAGATGTCGCAGCACCTGCTGGAGCTGCAGCGTCTGCAGGATTTTCTTGCGTCCCGGTGCGCAGTTAATTAATAAAAGTCACCGTTGGGGTGGAACATACTGATAAACAGCCAGTCAGCAAGCGACTCGCGCCTAAATAAAACTTCTTGACGTCGTTTCCACCGCAGCCGGTGACTTTAATGCTAGGACAGGACAGAAAGCTGCAGACTCTGCGCGCCTTTTGGGACACAAGGTGGACAACGACACCCTTTTGAGCGGAGCGGCGATCGCCAGGCTGGCTGAATTCAGCTTCGGCGGCCAGTTTGTGATTAAAACCGTCTGTAGCTAACGACTGTCCAGCACTGGCATAGGAAAAGGGCGGCAAGTCATTTCTCAGTGGCATCTCTGTTTGGCCCGCAGGATTAAATTGGCCAGATTCATTAACATCCATACATCTTCCAACCATTTGTCCAGTACAGGGTGGTGGGGGCAGGGGGTGGGGCTGGAGCCCATCCCAGACAACATTGGAGACATTGCAGGGGATACCATATCCAGGAAGCCAGGCGCTTACAGGGCAGACACACCATGGGCAATTCTGAGACACCAGTTCACCTAACGGCATGATTTTGGACAGTGTGTAGAGACTGAAGTATCCAGAACTCACACTACATACACAGGACAGGTTTGGGAATCGAACCCAAGGTGTATAATAATATAACTCCCTTGCATCTATCCTAAACATGCTTTCAGTCCAGTTACTAGTATAATTGATTAACTTATGTTTAATTAATTTAGCGTTAATTAACTCCAGCAGTACATATGTGAGGATCAGAGATTTCTAGTATTTTAAGGCTTTATAAAGTTCAGCAAATAAGAATGCGCTGGATCCCAGCTTTTAAACTCCGCTTTGCATACCAACAGTCATGTGACTCCAGATTAATTCACTTCTGTGGTCCTAAAGTAACATTCCAAAGTCCCAAAACTGCACTGATGGTTTTACAAATATGTACTTTCTCTGTTAAATGAACGGTTTTCTTGTCACTGTTTTCGAATACCAGTGGAAGGGTCTACTATAAAGGCTTTCAAAAACAAATTCTCGCATTTCTGTGGTTGTTCTGCGATTTGGTGCCCAATGTGGTATGGCCATTCTATGCCCAGTAGAGGGAGCTGCAGCACAATTTCTGTGTTTTAGACGGCGCTCTTTACCGCAAGGTCATTAGCAATTTGCTTCCCTATTGATTAAAAGCTGTCGTTTCTCTGTTATCCTCCGGGCCTGTCCCTGAAAAACACACTGTAAATATTCGAATGTGTCTGTATATCTGGAGGCATCTTCACCTCAGCATTAATTTACCTTAGAGCATCCCTAATGAACGAATCAGGTGGTGCTGAACCTTTGACTGATGTGGATCTTACCCGTCATCGGGCCTCAATCCAAGAGCAGCGGACAAAGCACAACATCGGGGAAATCTGCATTAACCATGCCTGGTCTGTTTTATGGGAGTTTATCCGAGCCTTTTACTGTCCTGTAAGCATTTATGTGTGCGATAAAATAGCTCTTGTGTCGAGACATTTTTCCAAGGCATTGATGTCGCTGGAAGACGTGCAACAGGCCTGCCAGAGCGTTAGCGATACAGGATGGTAGATTGCTGCACGCTTCCCTTACAGGAAGGACCTCGGCCTGATAATACAGCTTGCTCACTGGCATCCTAGCTATTTGTGTTCTAGTCCACCACCTGCATGCCTGTGCCATATGATTGAGGACTTTATGATTAGTTGACAAGTAAAACCAAAATTGAGTGTGTATGTAGTAGTGGAATTGAATTGAGAACCATTGATGTACGCTATCAGGTCCAGGTGTGATTATGATAACTGTGCATCCTAAGGGCTGTTCATTATTCTGTTAAGTGGTCCCTTTTAAGGAAAACGTGGCGATTCTACCCAGTATTTCTCTTGTGGAAGCACCGGTATATTTATAACTACGACGTCTATGCTAAGCGATCCCTTTGGCTGGGTGTGCACTGTTCTCAGCACAGTGCGCTTTTGGCGCTTTCTGTTTTCAGAAGCACGCCCGTCTGCACCCATAAACGGCTCGTTTGCAAGAAATACCGGCCCACTGAAAGGCTGATTTCCAAACGCGGTGCTGACAGTAGCTGCGGCAGTAAATCCCCGCGTGTCAGACGCGTACGGGTAGCGTGTGGGCACATACCCTCACTCCTTAGGAGGTAGGGTGGCAGGGAGACTCGATCATCTCATCCGACCTGTGAAAAGCGGTGTCGGTTTTAAGGAGAAACGTTTACCTTAAACCCGTGACTCTCTCTGCGTATATGCTTTCGTAGAGCGCGCGAGAAATGGAACCAGAGATGGGTACCACGCTCTGCAAATTATCATGCTAGGTGTGTGTGTGTGTGGGAGGAGGGTATTTTAACCCATGTTTTCATTACATATAAACACGCTAGTATTACACTGTACATCTTGTAACATATGTTAACCACAGCCCCTTCAGTCTTATGACATGGTGATGATTGTTTAAAAGCAGCCTTCTGTGTTTTGAGAGCTAAATCAATAGCTGACATGGAAAAAGCCCTAATACATATAGCCCTCCTGTTTATTCGTGTTTGGAGTCTTGTGTGATTGCCTGTCCCGTGTAGTCCTTACTGCAGGGACCATGTTCTTTGCAGAGGGATGCTGTCGTTTCTTGTTGGTTGATGGTGTTGACTGCAGCGTGCTCTCGCCGTCCATCAGAGGCTGTATATCTGGTTGACACAAGCATTACATTTTCATGCGTTTATGAGTATAAACGGGTTTCTGGGATATGTCACCCTGCACCCGTTAATCACTTTGAAAATGACCCCCCACCCCGGCTCTGACGGCCTTTCTACTGAAAAATGGAGTCTGTCGTTCAAGGGGCTGAATCTTGCCAAATGACATTGTGGTCTGCGGTGGACGGTTGCCATGACGTGTGACTGAGGCGTCGACAGCAGCTCTGCTTTGGATGCTGTACTGGGTTCTGTGCTGTGGTACCAGGTCTCTACCAGTCATTTCGTACATTTCTTTCCAAGTTATCCTGAAGCACAAATATGTGAAACAGAATGCTGCTTTGGTGGGAATTCTTTGCTTTTAAGGTGCAGTAGAGGTAGAGGTTGGATGGCTTCCCTGTCATTAGGTAGAGGTCATGCCGCTGTGCCGTATGGTGCATCGAAGGCCAATAGTATGGCGATTTATTCAGAATCACCATACCCCCCCTGAACCTACCTGAATTCTTAAGTGCAGTCTGTCTGCTACCCACAAGCAGAAATCGAACACATGGCAGGATCATTCCTTTGAGTCAGCAGTCTTCCTGTTTTCTCCTTGGGAGCGGTACATTCTTCATCGGTGGGTCTCTTTCGCACCGTGCACCTCCGGGCGTGTCCTCTGTATGCAGGCATGGGGAGTATGCAGGATGATACCTGATGCTTCTGCTCAATGCTCTCGGAGCTTCCACCCGCAAGCCCAGTTTCCGTTATCGCTTTTCTATAAGCTGCCCAAAGAGTCTTTCCCTTGAGGGGCCCTTCCTTGGACACGCTCCAGTGAGAGGAGCATGAGTAGGGACCCACGGGGACAGACCCCATGGATTTCTGGGAGTCCACCAAGAGGAGCTGAAGGAAAGGGAGCGAAGGGGAGGATCGCTCAGATCGGCACTTTGGTTTCTTAGAAAATGGATTCATGGATTCTTTAACTTTTCATCCAATTCGACATCCTAGATCTTGTCATAGGAGACACAAGGCTCACCATCCAGGAAGAGATGCCATGTTCTCGTAGGTTTTGTTGATGTGTTTCAAGGTTTTATTTGCAGAGGAGGGGACAGGTGCATTGTGGGTCAATAGGCCCAACAACAGGTCAATACAAGACAATACAATGCAAGACAAGACACAGGTCTATATAAGACTTCGTCACCCCCAAAACAGATAATTGGTTATATTAGGAGCAGCCGTACTACTACGGTCTGTCAACCCTGTGCTCAGAACGGGGGGTGGGACAGTTTGTTCATTAGTGGAGTATTCATGGTGGGCGGGATGCTTGAAACATTCAGGGCACCAGTGGTACACAGCACGGCCGACTCGCGTCATTTCAGACGGCCCGCCGCGCGCTACACGCCGTTTCGATTTACGATGTGTGTGTGCGGGAGCGAGAGTCTGCTCCCCAGTGGCGGGGGCCCCCAGCGGCGGGGGCCCACGCCGCACACAGGGCGCTGTGTTTCTGCCGCCAAACTCAATGACTCAAGCACCCCTCCTCCCCAGCCTCTAAGTGGCCGTCCAAACCATCTCGGCAGCCCCAAGCAGGGGCGGCTGAGGAGACGTGGCTGCATAGTGACAGCGGCCGGCGATGAGGTCACTATCTGCGCGCTGAAAAGGCGCCGTTGTCCCCGGGACTGAGTTACGACACAGAGGAGAATGAGCGCCTATCTGTGGCCAGGCTTCTCGTCACTGATTTATGTTGTGGAGACAACCGCTCTGCAGCCAGCACATCAATCAAAACGGCCCGTCCATTAATCGCCCGCCGTACGAACATCATCATCCGCTGCCGTCTCAGGTGCTTTACGGCCGTCTGGCGGAATTAAGTCGTGAAAATGATTTTCGTCAAGACTCTACGTTGTGACTAGACCGATAAAAACTGCTGATAAAAATTGAGTGTGTGCTGGTGAAAAAGTCAGGCCAGTTGACTGTAAATGGCTTCGTTATTAAATGAGACGAGAGACTCGCTCTGGCTAGCTCATGGGGAGACGCCCCCCTCCCCAGAAAATATTCCACTATATTCCACACTGCTTGTGAAAGTAACTCTGTGAGCCCACGCCTGTGTATCCAGGCTCCGTCAAAATACGATTTCTTTTGACAAGACCTCGGAGCGTTTCTCCGATGTCTGTTGCCTTTGGAACGATGTGTTCCAGGAGAGCCTGCAGACGGCGGAGCTGCCCTGTGTGTGCGTGAGTGTGCGTGTGAGGACGCGTGCGCTTGGAACCAGGTCAAGTGTCAAAGGCGGAGAGTGGTTTGTGCAGACGTTTACCAGACATTTGTAATGGTGTATGAGTTTGCCTAAAATATTAAAATGATCACAGAGACATGGTCACTGGAAAGACTGTTTGCTGCTTTTGCAGTTGATTGGCCAAAAATTTAGCCAAGATACGTTTATAAATAAATGAGTAAATAGCCCCAGTGATTTAAGTGGTGTGTTAAGAAGAAAAACATGATCTGTGAGACTTTTTGAGGGTCCTTGAAATCCTGAGTCTTTTTATGGGTGTCAATATATGGTTATAGATGCTGAGCAGATCATCATCACCAAGCACTCTGTGGATGTGATGACTGTGTAGAAAGATTGTCCCTCAGCTCTGCTAAAAGCACTGGGACAGGATTAGAGCCAAGAAAAATCTTGTTTGGATTGTATGTGATTAACACCGGAGTTTTTTGTCTGTGCAACATGACATGGTCCCTGGACTCATTCAGGTCCCATATTGCAGTGTTTCTCAATCCAGTCCTCAAGGAGCCACAAACATTCCATGTTTTTGCTCCCTCCCTAGGAACTGAGCGGGTGCAAAAATGTGCACTGTCTGGCAGGCAGCTGGGAGAGAGCAAAAACGTGGGCCGTCTGTGGATGCCTGAAGACCGGATGGCCGGAAAAAACTGCCTTAGAGGAAGGAGATCTCTTTGGGGGAGCGTCTGGAAATTAACCTACAAAAGGAAAAACGTACACGCCCGAAGATCCATACACAGCTTGGGGCAAACAGTCCTCCACAGCGCAGTAATGTTCACACGGCAGTCCCCTGCCTTCGCCTCCATCGTCAACCCCAGCCAAACCAGGCATCTGGACTATTTCATGGCATTTAACATGCGCAGGGGAGGGACAGACTGCAGGGCGACGGGTGACGTGACCATTTTCGAAGAAGCGATGTTGCGTGTTGTCTGAGTACGAGACGCCTTCTACAGTGCCAGCTGCTCCGTGGAAAAAAAAAGGAAATTGACTCCGTTGATAGTAAATAATTTACCTTTGGAGGGGATAAAACAGTACTTTTGGCAGCCGCCTGCTTTAATGGAGGTGCCTATTAAAAAAAACAGACTTATGTCCTGCGATAAAACAGTGGGGTATGTTTTGTCAGAGCGACCATGTCACTGCTGAAGGGCCCGACAGTAATTCTTACCTGTAAACTGAAACAGGCATCTATCTGAACAGCTTATATATGGGACCCTTCCTAGTCATTATGAAAAAGTGATATTTCCAAGGAGAACTGGCCGTGCCGTCTTCTGAACTGTGTGTGAATTTAGGGAGGGGAACGCAAAGGAGGACAGGTGAACACAGAAATGGTAGCTAACATTTACTAACATTTAACTAACATTTAAAACTGCCTAATGATCCAGAGCAAATGTTAAATGAAGAACCTGGGGGCCCTAAAGTAGGGCGAGATGTATAGCCATCGTTTTCATAAGGAGGTTTGCAAAATGGGGTGTGGGGGGGGGGCAGGCTTTTGTTTGGTCTACCATGTTTGGTAACTGGGCCAACAGCCAGCAGACCTGGGCTCAGAATCACATTTACTTTTAAAGAGGATTTTAAACATCCAGCAGATAATTTGCTGGTGCTTCAAGGACATTCGAGGGAACCGTCAGCGATGTGACGAGGGTGTCGTGTGAGAAATGGAGTCTGTCGTTCAAGGGGTTGAATCTTGCCAAAGCCACCAGTATATCTTTGAGAGGCAGACCCAGGTAATAACCAGCTGGATAAAGGCCTTTACTGGCCAGGTTATCGAGCTACAGTGATGCATTTCAAGGGTGACTCTCTCAGCTTTGAGCAGTTCGTGAGTTATGAAGGTGTGATACCATCTCCATATACCGTCCCTGTAGGACCGTTAATTAAAGCTGTGTTTATGGAGAACGTTCCTGCCGTGTGGCACTATGCTGAGATCCAGCTGGACGTCACCCAGAGACAAAGGCCAGTAGTGGGAATCTGGAGCCAGCAGAAACCTCTGCGTGTGTTTGTGTGGACAAGTTTTGAGAAGATGTCTCATTAATAGCATGACCTAAGAAGCAGACACTGCAGTGATGTTCCTCTCAATACTGATTGCACACATAATTACTGTTTACAGTAGATTTTCATGGTGAGTTGGAATTCTGTCTGTGTGTGTCAGAGAGAGTGTTTCACTTGGGGAAATTGGAAAAGAGCACAAGTGAATGTGTAAATATTATGCTGAAGGACTAGATTTACACGTTAAATTTTGGTGTGTTTTATGTCGTTATATACGTATATTTTAGTGAGTTACATTAAATGAAAAAAATGCAACTATTATTACATATAGTTGCACTTACATTTAAAAAAAAAAAAAAAAGATTGACAGACTATAATGCATTGGATATCAACTCTGCAAAAATGCATCCGCCTGCAGGGGTCGATAAAAACCCAGTCGACTCACACCTTGTGAGTCCACCCTGTAATGTGCCGACCCCCGCCCCCAAAGCATGAAGATGGTAAAGCATCTCTTGTCTGGCAGACTGACATTGTGGACTCCATCAGGATCCAGTCGGTGCATCACTGGACTGTAACTCTTTAAAAGTGTGGTGCTGCGCTAACGAACGAATGCACGGCGCGTGGATTTACCAACCCCCCCGGATATTAAATTAGAGAAGTAAACACGGTATTCTGGCTAGACACCTGGGAGTTTTGAGGAATTCCGTACTACGTTCTGGTAACTGTGGAGGATGGTGTATCTCTGGTGGAATTTTGTTATATAAAGCGGTCAGTAAGTACAACATATAACTTTTCTAACAAAAAACGCACATTAACTCAACTTAATTATTCGAGAGTTTTATGTAGCCTGATTATTAAGATCTGTATGTACATTTGAGGATTTTTTTGCGTTAGGAACCGCAATCTCCGTTTCGTGCTGTTTTTAATCAATGAGTACCATTATTTTGAAACTGTAACCATTTTGAACGAATTTCTATTCGGACTAGTAAACATGGATCTGGATTTTTGTGTGGCTGTATACGTACTGGCGTTATCATTGGGTTTTGGCATAAAGGAGACCACGTGTCAGCACTTCGATATCTTCCGTCCTATTCCAAGTGACATCTTACCACCTGTGGTACTCATAGAACATCCAGATCCCATGCTTGATCCTAAGAAGAAAGACCTTAATGAAACCGAACTGCGAAATTTACTGGGAAGCCACTTCGATTCACTGTTCATGTCCACAACTCCGCCGGAAGACAAACACGCATCTAATGGCCAAGTGGACAGTCTGGAAGAAGTGCATCTGCCCAACGGATCTATGCCCGCTTTAATAAAGTCTCTGGAGTTTGACGTTTTGCACGGCAAGAAGCAAAGCAGTAGAAAACTGCAACGAAAGCTGCAGCTTTGGCTCTGGAGTTACGCGTCCTGTCCGGTGGTGTACGCTTGGAACGACCTCGGACGCCGATTTTGGCCACGTTACGTGAAAGTGGGCAGCTGCCCCCGCGAAAGGTCCTGTTCTGTACCGGAGGGAATGGTTTGCAAACCGGACAAAAGTACCCATTTCACGATACTGAGGTGGAGGTGCCTGCAAAAGAACGTGGGGTTGACGTGCACGTGGATACCTATGAAGTATCCAGTTGTATTGGAATGCAAATGCGCATGTGCGAGTTGATTGAATGCAGAATACAGCTCAGCGGTGTTACATGTGTCGCATAGTTAAGTTTATACACGTAATATATGATTTTGTATTATGTCACTTTGTCAGGTTATGGTAAAATGGATTGCAGTGTTTGCAGAAACCACACCAAACGCAAACGTAATAACACCTTTACTACAAAACTATTTAATCTTTACTGAAATTTATGATATGAGACTGTGGGCTGCTTGTTGCTATTGTTATTATTATTGTTATTAGTTATATAATTATATCATATTTTTATAGGTATCAGGAAAAATGATTAGAACGTTTGAGTAGTTATAAGTAACGGATGATACCTTATTTTATTGTTGTGACAATTGTAAATATGCAGAAACATTATAACGACTGTATAAATGTTAAATGTGGCTATTTATTCCTAATATTGTAGCTGTTTTGTACATCGGTAAAATAAAACCACTAAACTAATAACCTCTGTCATAACTTTCCCTGTCTGACATATAGGTTCGAGATGCAGTTAGTTCTGTTTAAAACATGATCATACAAACTGAGTTGCAGTCGGAGTTATCCGTCTTGGACCTGTTGCATATTTCGAAATATTACATTCGGATTAACATTGGCAATTCCCAACTCGTTCTAAAAACACAGTATAGTCAAAAGCACACCGTGTGACATATCCAATATTATGGTGCTTGTTCTTTTACGAAGCAAATGCACACTACAGAATGTTTCATAACCATCCCTTACGCCGTTGACATCCACGCAAAGCTTCACGGAAACCCTAATGGTTCTGTTGCGTCTTTTCTTACTGTTTCTTATAGACCGGTACCCGAATTGGCCGTCACCGGAACCAATTCATGGACCACCCAATTCCCGTCTAAGATCAATGATGCCGGTCGATCGCAGTACAACTCACTAAGCAATTTACGTGCATCCATCTTCAGCCTGTGAAAACAAACACAAGGGAACTCGAGGGAAAATGCTAAATCTACGGACAGGCGCATGCGCAAAACCAGGGCCGGGCCTCGAGCCAAAAGCCTGGAGGCGCGAAGACGTAGCGTCACGCTCTGAGCCACCCCCATCTTACCCCGCGCCAAGTAATTCCGTAACCAGATATGTCAGACTTAATCAATTAGCTGAAGATCAACGTGCAGAAGTGAAAAACGGCACTGCTGACAAGCAGGCCTCAATTAACTAATTAAGAGCCGAGGCAAGATGAAAAAAAAATTCGGTGCTGAATGAATGAAGGTAGTGTTGTGCTGCACTTTAAGTCTATGTACAATACAAATTTAGTGTAGTTTCATTGTGTTATAGTGCTGAATTTTATTTATGTATTTAAAAACTTTTATTATTTATTTATTTATTTGTGCCAAATTTGAAACTAAAGGGACTGCATCCAGTTTCATCGTATTTTCTATAATGACAATAAAGATTCATTCAGAAGAGCCGGGGCAGGATGAAAAGCAGCGGAGCTTGCGGCGCGCGAGGACAGGAGGCGCGAGGACATTCCTGTCAAGGTAACCGCTGGGAAATGGCGGCGTTTCGGTATCAGTATGGGGAGACATTCCGCAAAGAATGTTGTTTCTAAGACAACTTCGGGGCCGCACAAGTCAAGTCCAACTTTGCCGCGAAGCACACCTACCAGCACCGATGTTAGCGTAGAATTGTGTGTGTGTGTTGAGTGTAACTGTCAGTGCATTCTGTAATTCGGTGTTAATATGTGTGTGTGTGTGTGTGTGTGTGTGTGTGTGTGTGTGT